CGAAGAAGTTATCTTCATAAAGCTAGTTTCATGATTAACTTCTCAGCCAACCTAAGCTACCATATTTTTTTAAGGCTTTATTGGGTTTCAATCTTTAATGAATAAAAGATTACAGGATATCTATTGTCTAATGTACAAAGTGAATAACAACTTGTGCCCTAGATATATTAGGGACCTATTTTAAATCAATAGTTGTGTGCACGATTTAAGTGTCAAGGAATTCGGTGTGCCAAGATTTAAGACAGTGACTTTTGGCAAACACTAATTTCAATTATAGATTTACTACTGGATTCATTTTATCACTATTTAATTTGTATTATAGATTCGCTTTTTATCACTCTTTTAATTGCATAGATAGTGTCTTCAATTAGTGGTGAGCAACTGCTAGTAATAATAATCGACTCGTTAGTAAAGTTATAAAGTTATTATTATTAGAATATTTACGAGGGTAACCCCCTCATTCTAATCAAGTTGTTTTGACGCAATTACAGTTTTGTCGTCTCGTTTGTCAGTAAATAGAGCTATTGTGTTGCTGCCGTTTGGCTAGTGTTGCTTTCTAGAACTGTATTTTACAGATTCGAGGTACTTTTCTTTAAATTTGTCCAGGAAGCAAAGTTCTTGTCTTTTGGGTGTGCTGATATACATACCAGACGCCTCTTCGATTAGAAACAAGTTTCTCTCAGTAGAAAGCATAACTTTACTGAATGATTTGTCGTCATCAAGAAGAAGTCAAAAGAAAAGAATCCTAGCTCAAGGGAAATACAACAAACCAATTTGTCAAGTCACCTGACACCACCATGGCTACTAAGTAACCAATAAATAGGCATTCTTTTAGAAAAATTCTAGTTGCGATAATTTAAATGTGTTCCTTTTCCAATGTCTCAGCTTCTCCTTTCCGGCAAATAATCCCTGTCAAAATCAGCAAGCACATCACCAGAATTTACACACTAAACCCAAGTGAACAAAGTTTGAACCAAACACACTGAACTAAAGAATGTTGTAGTTAAATCCTATATATGGCACTCAAAAGATTTTTTACATCGTGACTAACTAATTAGTTTTACTTTCGAGACTGGATAAGATCAGGGGAACGCAGTGTCTTAGTTTTAACAGCATTTTAACAAACTTATATACACTACACCCAAATGATGGACACTGAATAAAGGGAAAAGATAAAGAGGTAGCTTCATAAATAGAACAGAAATCAAACAGAATTGACAGTCGTAATTGAGTTTGGCCACTAAAAGCACACAGATACTCAGATTACAGTTACTTAACATTAAATTTGACATGTTAAAAGTTGACAAACTGCATGTTGAATTCAAGCATTAATGGTTTACTAATGACTTAAGATCGGGTTAGAGCTCGGTTAATTTCGGACTGAAACTACCCAACTGTAACACATTTCCAAAAAGCTTTAAGCAAAGCAATTCTGTTTACTTAAATGAGTTCAGAAGCGCCACATTCACAATGACTTTCGATAAAGAGATAAAAAAGTGACTTAAATAATCTAGAAGGAAAAGGTTAGCAAACCACATGACTGATATCATGCATGTTTCAGTTCGAAGCCGTATGTTAAGCAATATGCTAATAGGTACATACCAGCTATGACGTTATGACTTGACGGTTTCCAACATGTAGTGCTGTCGTCAGTGTGTGAGACAATCCTGAAGAAAAATTAACTAGTTAAACAGAGATACGGAATACAGGACACGATGTTGCCAGCCACACAGGCGTTAAATATTCTTTCAAGAATTAGAATATTTATGAGGGTGAACCCCTAATTTTAATAAAATTGTTTGACGTTTGATTCAGCACCAATTACAGTTCTTCATTAATTGCTTTCTCTTTTGAGCTGTCATTTCCAAGCCTGAGGCAAGATTAAATGCAAACTGTTCAACATTAGAATGCCTTTCTGAAGAGGGAGTCTTGGTTTTCTTATTCTCTATTGTTGCCGTAAAGTCGAGATCAAGCAACTTAAGCTGGTTCAGCAAAATAAATCACTGAATGATAATAATGGTACAACTAAATTGTGATAGTTAGAATGCTCGATTAATGCTTGAAAGTTAACTGAAGCTTGCAATGTTCATATGTAAATTCTTCCTATTAAAATTCATAACTCGATCCATGAGAACTCTCAAGATTCAGAAACATTCGGTGAAACGAGCAATTGTTCCTGTGTATGGCGTGGCAACTGACAGTACACGAACACTGTATCATAATTTATGCTACAGTCAGTTAACATTATATTCCCCTCGACACATATTAAACAGCTGAATTCAAGCAATGATGGCTTCTTAATGAGCGCTAATTAACTTGGATTGAAACCTCTCCACTGTAACATTAGCAGCCAGCATTGCTCTTCTGTTCACTCAAGCCTCCGTTCGAGGTTTCCGACAGGTAGCGATTTCGTCAGTGTCAGACAATCCTGATGAAAAATGAACTAGTTTAACAGAGATATGAAATACAGGACAGGATCAGATAAGAAGCTAAGAAATAATCTTCATGAAGCCAGTTTCAAGTTGTGTCGGTGTGGTCAGCTACTGAGGTGTTAAGAATTATTATAATAATTAGAATATTTATCCGGGTAACCCCCTCATTTTGACGCTGTCATTGTCAAGCCTGGGGCAAGAATAAAGGCAAAACGTTGAACATCAGAATGCCATGTCTCTGGAAGGAATCAGCTCGTTTTCTTTTCCGATATCACTGCCCCATCGTGTCTGACTTGATTCCTGTGTTCGAATCGAATTGAGATAAATAAACTACTGGTTAATCAGCAAACTAAGTCATTGATAATAGTGGTAACTAGATTCTAAATATAGCTAGAAAGCTGGTTCAATATTTCAAAGTTCATCGAACCGTTGATAGCGTGCAATGTCAATATATAAACTCTACCTTTCTATTTGTACATGTAGCACTGTATTCGCGAGAATCGCAAGATTGAAAAACAGATAAAAAAACCAACACGCGTTCCTTCACATGGGTTTGGCCTTTTAATATCGGACGGAGCGTAGTAATTTTGTTCCTTTCCTCGCTCATTTATTTGTCACACATACATGTAAAGGAACAAATACACAGAGACAACAAAGAGAAAGAAGGTGGTAATTTCCTATCTAAAACAGCAAGCACATCATCAGAATTTACACAACACCCGGAACACAAGTTCAGAATGAACAAATCTCACTGAACAAAGCAATGTTTTAGTTAAATCCTATAGATATAGCACGGAATTGATTTTTTTTTTTTCATCGTGTCTTAATAATTAGATTTATTTTCGAAACTGGATAAAATCAGGGGAACGCAGTGTCTAGACCAACATCTTAACAAACTTAGACGTACTACACGGAAAAGGACACTAAAGAAAGGAAAAGAAGGAAACTTAAAGACATAAATGTAACAGAAATCAAACAGAATTGACAGTCGCAATTGAGCTTTGCCACTTAGCCTGCGAGCAGCCTAATGTTGCTAGGGCAAAATCGAGCGGCGAAGCTGCGAGACGAGACGAGCCGAGTGAGCCTGCTCTGATCTCTCCAAATTTTTCATTTCCACCCCGGAAAACGAGGAAAAAATAAGCCAACTAATTTTCACCGGAAGTATGGACTTAAGAAGCTTAGATTTCTCGGGAAAATTGTAAATCTTTTTCATAACAACATGCAGGTGCGATATCCA